GCATTCACAGCCCCAACAGCCTTGACAGTTTCTTGTACTTTTTTGGCCCAGGAGCGTAAAAATGGCCTTATCTCCCACAACAGGCACGCGAACACTGTCTGGTCACCAATGCGTTAACACAAGGCAAACAAGAATGGTTCTTCTGTCTCCGGTAAAAAAACATGCGTGCGTGTTTTTAGGTGGCGCGAGTACTCTTTGGGTGTTTTTTGCAGAAAATGCTCTTAATAGGACAGAAGGACACTGTTACGCTAAAAGCAGTACCAGAAAAATAGTGACTAATGGAGTAACTGTCAAGGATGGTCAGATAGTTACAGCTGTATCAGTCTCACCTTTCCGTGAATTTCTCAAGAAAACTCCAGCAACCTTCCCACTTTTCTCTGTAAGCAACTCTAATCATCCTAACGTTGGAAATTGCAGTACGTTGCGAAGCGGCGCTGTAGCGCTACGCTGTAGCGCGACAAGTCTGAGCGCTGCCTTAGGATTCAAAATAAAACTCCTCGTTCGATAACTATGTATGACATGCAACTTGTAACAAGGAACACAATCGAAACAGCGACTAATGGTGATCATTGATAAGCGGTGAAAAAATAGCCCCAAGGTCAGCGTGTCAGGCCCCAGATGTGCAATGAATGGTGACGGGGAAATCATGAAAACATGCACGACACAACAAAGCGAAACATGAAAAATACAAAAAATGCGGAGCAAACCAGGTAACCATGCGGCAGTATATCGTTCTATACTCGGCTATTATCGATTGCAACTTTGCTACCGCTAGTTGATGTTTGTTGGTATGACAGGATTGACCTGAGCTGACAAAAACTACCAGCAGACAACAAATAACTGTTTATTAAAGGTAAAAGGCACGATAGAAAAGAAAAAAATGCCACAAAGGCAAAAACTATACACCAGAAGCAAAGCTAAAGCAAAACCACTAATCAATCCACAGGCTTATATAGCGGGGCAGAACTTTCTGGAAAGGCGCCATCCTTCGATCCGTTCGGATCCATCCACTCTCGCACTAACCCGCGCGCCGCGCGCACTCGGAATTCAAAACTGCTTGCCGTGAAGCCACACTATTCAGCCTGTAAAGAAACTACAAAAGAATAAAGTGAGCAACTTCATGTTTTTAAAATCATATTCAACACGCGGGGCCCTAAAAGAATTGACCGCTACACTCGGTCAAGATTCAGCTCCCCCATATTCTTGGCTAATGCGCGTGCCTGGCTGCGTCTTTTCCTTTGTTCCTGCTTCCGCAGGGTCCTTTTTCCAAACTCTCCTGCTTCACGGCGGGGTGACAAGCCTCCCCGTGCCTTATCGACGTAGCTCTCACATGTCGAAGTGCTTTGACTGGTGCGCTTGACTTGCGAAGGTAAGGGTTCGAGGGAGACGTTCTGCGCCAAGTGCCGCGATAGGTAATGATAAAAGAGCCGCACGTGCCTCTCGGGCAGCCATGAGGTTTCGTTATCCAGTACTGCGACCGCATAGGACGGTGCTGTCGGGTCAATGAGACCGTTTTCGGCAACCAACTTGTCCACCACCTGCGGTATCAGCTCCATGTGGTCTTCCAGGAATCCGTTCAGATGCGATCTGGCTTGGATCGCGACTCTGTACCACGAGTTCAAGTCCTGCGGTCGAGGTCCGGCTACCAAGTAAACACGACATCCGCATTGCAGCCACATTGCTTGGCCGCTACTAGGGACAACCAACTTCCTGGCTTAGGTTCGGTGGGAGGCAAGACGATGATGACGTGACCGAGTTGATCATCGAATAGCTCAGTCTTCCTCAGATGAATGTCGCGGAACTGTTTATAATAAAAGATCTTGGTGTCCCGCAGCTGACTTCCGACCTGTTTCAGACGATGGAGGCAATCGGGTACCACGATGACCATCTTGCGATGTTCTGCACCAACAGCTTCTCTAGCCACCTGCCACGTGGTTCTTGTCGAGATCCTCCATCCAAGCTCGAAAATGGTGGGAACATCACAGTGCCATCCTGAAATTGGCCAATGGCGCATGATGTCGTCCGCTGAGACCATGCCCGCCATCACCGAAATGTGCAGACATCTGGAACGGAAGAATGCGTAGCTCAGAGCAACACTGCGTGGAGTTATCCGACGGTGCAACGGGTCGCAGATCCATGCGATCTTTTCACTCAGAGTCCCGCACCCTTGCCAAATCGCGATAACACGCGCTCCCTCAAGCACGCAGTCCACACGATGCGCTGCCGCCGGCTGAACTAGAGTACTGATCAAATCTCCGGCAACTATGGATGCACTACAATGACATTTCGATACATCCAGCTGAGGAACTCCTTCCAGAATCGGCAGAGGCTGTCCTTGACATCGGAAGCAACCATGGAGGCAGTTCATCTCGTCCACGACATCGAACTCCTTCGCTGCTCTGAAACAGAATTTATCAGTGCTACTGAGACTGCACGCGCATACCCTAACACTCTCACTCTGCTTTCGCTTACACCTCCTCTGACGCCTCCTTGTTCTGGGTCTAAGGGGTTCTGCTACGAGCTCATCAGGGCATGTCCGCAACATGTCCATCTGTATCTTAAGCGGCTCCTCATCTGCCCCAATACGCGTTATCAAGGCAGACGTTTCAAAAACATCAAGCACTCGGAAGGGTCCATCCCACTCCCATGTCAGTTTTGGGTGCTTACTCTTCCCTTTTTCCATGGGGAGCTTCATGAACACTCTTCCGCCCACCTTGGGAAGTTTCGCGACGTCCACGTCGTGACGTTCATCGTAATACGCTTTCATTCTTTTTCGGTAGGAGTCAGCGTATTCGAGTACTTCTTCGCGAATTAACTGCATTCCCCGTAGCAGTTCGGTCTTGTAATCGTCCAGGTCAATTTGGTACTTTGTTACCTCACTTTCAGGTACTACCTTGGACGGTACATAAGGGTCAAAACCGTGTAACAAGAAGAAAGGGCTTTCTCCGGTTGCCTCGTGAGGACTTACGTTGTATGCATACACCGCATGCGGTAATATTGAGTCCCACGAATCTTCGACCTCAACTTTCTTCTTCAGCATTCTTTGCAGGGTGCCTATCACACGTTCTGTGACACCATTTTCGCGTGAATTATAACCTTTTGTATTTGTAAAGGTGATTCCAGATACGAGCGTCAGCTCCTCCATGACGCTGTTAGCGAATTCTGTACCTTGATCGCTATGAATCTGCCTCGGCCAGCGGCCGTTCTCGCAAATCCATCGCCGAAAAAGGGTACCTGCCACGGTGGAAGCTCTCTTGTCTGGGATCGCATATGCGCCCATCCACTTGGAAAAGTGATCGATGACGACCAATACATATTTCATGCCTGTTACGCTCAAACCCATCTCTAGGAGGTCCATACAGACAATCTCGAAAGGTTTTGCGGCAATGAAAGGTTTCAGTGGTGGCACATAACTTCTCCTGGGGTTAACGAGAAAACATTCTCGGCATTCCCGGTGCCACTTAAAAACATCTTTCTCCATGCCTTCCCAGAATACTTTAGTTTTCAGCGTACGTAGGACTTTCTTAGCGGCAAAGTGGCCAGCAAGGCACCCTCGATGGGCTTCGTCGAAGACTTCTCTCCTCTTACTCTTCGGAACTACCCTTACTGTCGCGCCACTTTCGGTTATTAACTTCAAGTCGCCTTCTTCCAGCGAAAAGTCAACAACTTTAAATCTCTTTCCCATCCGGGGTAAGGCAACTTCCTCCTCCAGATGGCCTGACTCGAGTCCTTGAATGATGAATTTGTAGTCCGGATCATCTCTCAGCTCTTCTAACCACGGCGTTCCGTCACTTGGAGTAACTGCGCACACGATTCGATCATCTTTTATGTCAGTGATGTCCAGCTCAAGTTCACTCATGTTGACACCTCTGGACAAGGCATCGGCCACGGGATTCGCTTTCCCCTTGACATATTCGATTTTTACACGATACTGTTGTATCTCCAATGCCCAACGTAGCACACGACTGGACACATTTGTTCTCTTGAACAGGGCAGTAAGAGGTAGATGATCCGTGCGGATTATGACTTCCATGCCGTATATAAAGAAGTGGAACTTCTTCAGTGCAAACACCACTGCGAGAGCTTCTGTATCCGTTATGTGATACCTTCGCTCGGCTTTGGTTAGACTTTTCGATGCAAAATAGAGTGGATGTAGGAATCCATCTTTTCCTTCTTGACATAGTACGGCTCCGATGCCTAATTGAGATGCATCCGTGTAGATTATAAATGGTTTCGTACCGTCCCTTGCGCCTTCTACGTCAGGCTGGGCTAAAATGGGCGTTGATGACAGTGCTTCTTTCAGTTTCTTGAATGAAGCTTCCTGCTCTTCGCTCCATCTCCATGGTACCTTTTGACTTGTCAGTGTAAACATAGGCTGTGCTATCTTTGAAAAGTTCAATATAAACTTCCGATAATAGCCGCATAGACCCAAGAACGTTCTCAACTCTGCAATGTTGGTTGGTCTCGGATATGCTTGCACCTTCGCAATCTTATCGGGGTCCGCATGAATTCCTGCAGCGTCAACTAGGTGGCCCAAAAAGTTGATCTGCCTTTCCATGACAACGCATTTCTGTGGCTTTAACTTCAAGTTAGCCTCACTCAATGCCGTCATGACATGCTGCAGTACCTCGTAATGGCGTTCTTCCGTGTCCGTGGCTATGAGAATGTCATCAATATATACAAAGACTTCCCTGTCTTTCAACTCTCCTAGGACTTGATCCATAAGCCGTTGGAATTCAGCAGGCGATGTGCATAACCCAAACGGTAACACGGTAAATTGGAATAGGCCTTCCGATGTAGTGAACGCACTTTTCTCTTTAGCGTCATCTGACAACGCTATTTGCCAATAACCTGAACACATATCTAATGACGAGAAGACCCGTTTTCCTCTTAAACTCTGCAACATAACGTCAATCGCAGGAAGAGGATACGCATCAGGCTTGGTGTGCTTGTTAAGTTCGCGATAGTCCACACAAAGTCGAAGTGAACCATCCTTCTTTTTCACTAGGACTACAGGAGAAGCCCATGGAGAAGTTGAGCGCTCTATAATACCTCTCTCAAGTAGTCCTCTTATGATCTCCTTGAATTCTTTACGTGCACCTACGGGCACCGGACGTGTCCTTTGACGGATGGGTTCCGCATCTCCGGTCTTGATTTCGTGCTTCACTAATGATGTCTGTGTGAGCTCTTTATCTTCCACTGCGAAAACGGAATGATTATCTCTAATCATCTTCCATAACCTCGCAGGTAGCTTTCGCTCTTTGCGGTTTTCCTTGAGGAACTGTTTTAGCTTCATCAACCTCTGTTGAGCCGACAGCCTCCTTGTTTCTAGTGTAAGCATGTCAGTGGGAATATCTTTCGCACTGGCTTCTATCCACTCGGTCTGATATTCCTTCCACTGTCCCACTGATTCACCTTCTTTGAGTACCACGGGTGCAGACGATCTGTTTATGACAGGCACTTCGACTAGGCCATCTTTCTTCACATGACACACTCCACTGTGAATCAGCTGTATACCTGAGTCTAGCAGCCAATCTGCATCTTTGTCACAGCCTGTTAATTGCACCCAACTCATAGCTCCTGGCGCGATGTACTCGCGCCGAGCTACCTTCGCCACCGTAGGGTTGGGTATCGTCGGCACCACTTCTTGGAGCCAAGCACCAGTCTCCGTTTTAGTGGGGTTATCGAGTGGTCTTCCTTCCCGAGTCAACTGGTAGCCGAACATTGGGAGTACGTTAGTGCCTAGGATAACCATGTCATCCTTTACCCTTGAACACATGAACTAGCGCACTAACTTTACGTCCACTGGAGCAGTCACGGATGGGGACCTCCAGAACTGCGACAAACTGCATCGCGCTACCTGACGCGTCGTACACCCGTTTCGTCTGGTCAATCTCATGCTCCACCAGTGCTCGGTCAATATCGAATCCAGCTCGTTTCGCCCGTAACAACACTTTACCGGGCAGGATAGTTATCTCTGACCCAGTGTCGAGCAACCCCCGAGCCTTTATTCCTAGTAGCTCTAGCTCCACTGTCATCTTTTTACCAAACAACGGGCTTTTCTCCGTTTGTGGCCTTTGCGGAGGATCCTGTATCACGTTCTTCCGCAGTTATACAACAACCTCCACGTACTCTGGTTGACAGAGAAGACCCTGGTTTAGGAAGGTATTTTCGTTTTCTTACATTCGCGAGCCAATGTCCTGCTTCGCGACACTTGTAACACACAGGAGTACGGTCCTGTGCATTCCTTCTTTCTTTGAAGTCAGGTTCTCTAGTAGTCCGGTCCTGCACATTCTTTCTATCCTTGAGATCAGGTTCTTTAATACGAGGTGGTTTACTGAAGGCTTTCCCTTCCCCAGTACGTGGGTTTTTGACCTGTTCTAGGGTCATGTCACGTCGTTCGATCCTTTTGGCCACCTCTTTGAGCTTCTCGTATGTGTCTTCTTCGCTTTCCAACGCCTCAAGAAGATAATACGAATCGCGCCAATGCGATAGCTGATCGTACAGCAAATGTGCTCTCTCCACAGCTAACGTGTATTCATCAAGTTCGGGATAGGCCTGACGAGTCAACTGTTCTAACTCTACACAGAAATCCGAAACAGTTTGACCATCCCTTTTCTTCAACCTCTTTAGCCTTCCTAAAGCCACTACTTTAATCGTGCGCTGTTCGGCCTTACATTCGCGCATCATAGCTTCTATCAGCGCATCATATCCACCATCCTTTTCATAGCTGGGTAATGCTTCATACAGTGTCCTCGCTTTTCCTACCAATTTGGAGCGGAAAAGTGTACACAACTCAGCATCTGTCCAATTTGTTCTGGGGTACTTCAGCTGAAAGTCCTCCAAGAATCTCACGAATCCGTAGTTCGAGTCTTGCCCTGAGTATGGCTGGACCTCGGGTAGGGTCATATGTCTCATGTAGCGGGCTACTGGATCGTCCCCTTTTTGGGCACTCGCACCTTCTCTTGCCACTTCTCTCCTACCCCTACTACTTTGACATTCGCTCACATCGCTATCTGTACAAAAAGATAGCCTACCTGTTTCCCTCTTCGGGGCGCCAGGTTGTGAGCAGCTCGAGTTCGCGTCCACTGACCTCAGTTCCAGCTCGCTGGCATGCCTTTGTCCACCAGTCTGCAAAGAAGAACCTTTAGGCTGTGTCAGTCCACTTTGCAATCTGTTCAAATATTGCATAGCTTCGCCGAAGCTAGGAACGGTACGCTTATTACCTGACTTCCCTGGCTTTTCACCATCGATTTCCATATCCACAGGGCTGCGCTGGTGCTGGCGGAGCTTTTCCAACTCTTTTTCCTGGTTCTCACAGCGCTTTCGTAGAGCTTGCAACTCGGCCAGTTGCGCATCGTACGATCGCAGCTTCTCCTGTAACATCATAAGTTGGTTCTCGAGGGCTGTAACTGAACGACATTTCTCCACTATGTCATCTACTCTACCCCCTTCTCCAACTGTTACTTGCTGAACCACATCGAAACTCTGATTAACTCTGTAAGAGATTCGACAAACTCGTGGCGCTGGCTGCAACCTAAACTTAGCATCACAGTGGCTACCCACTGTTCTAGCTCTGCGCCCTGTCTAACTTGCTGTTGCAGCTGTTTCAGCTCTTCAACAGCCTCGTCAGTCCGCTGCCTACATACCGTTTCGATCGCTTCGCGCTTGGGATCACTTGTGCGCATGTGCTTAGCTACTTCTACTGTCACATGCGTGCTTATCGCTCTCACTTTCTTAATAATCTCGTGCCATACCTGAGGTTCTGCGGCTTCTCCCGTAAGCCGCTCCTTCTCCGGTTCGTCCACCACATTCACTGGTACGGACATCTCGACCTCTGGCTCTCCTGTAATATCCTCAATTACAGAATTTTCCCTTCCTCGGAAACTGTGAGCCATCACGTCACGACGCAAGTCTATCGTGGTTCTCAGTCCTTACTTCAGGTCGCTCAAAAAAAATTTGGGCAGAGGTTCCCCTCTCTACGCGCCAAATTTTTGGTCACCTGGACCGAGAACCACCGTGTCACTCGGAGAGGAATGCAGCACAGGGCCAACTGTTCCTCCTTCAGCAACACTGACTGTACTGTATTCACGAGGACAGCCTCGTGACACCGCAGTACAGAAAAACGACAATCGAGAAAAATACCGAGAAGGATAGCAAAGGTTAGTTTCTGTCAAATCACTGGTCAATCCCGGTTCGGCCCCCAAGTTGATGTTGTTGGTATGACAGGATTGACCTGAGCTGACAAAAACTACCAGCAGACAACAAATAACTGTTTATTAAAGGTAAAAGGCACGATAGAAAAGAAAAAAATGCCACAAAGGCAAAAACCATACACGAGAAGCAAAGCTAAAGCAAAACCACTAATCAATCCACAGGCTTATATAGCGGGGCAGAACTTTCTGGAAAGGCGCCATCCTTCGATCCGTTCGGATCCATCCACTCTCGCACTAACCCGCGCGCCGCGCGCACTCGGAATTCAAAACTGCTTGCCGTGAAGCCACACTATTCAGCCTGTAAAGAAACTACAAAAGAATAAAGTGAGCAACTTCATGTTTTTAAAATCATATTCAACACGCTTTCTCTAGAAAAATATCATTGGAGCGGCTTGTTGGACCTGCCAACGTCCTGGGGTCTTTTCGAGGGGGGAGGGGGTAATTATTATCTCTTTTAGGTGCGCAGCTTTTGAAGGAATTGTTAGCAGCATGCAATGTTCCTACTGTTGCGTTTTCTACCCAGTTGCAATCTGAATGTTTCCCCGTTCGTGAAATATTTCGGATGGGTTTCGGATGAGCTAGGGGTAAATCGCGAGCGGGTTTTTATGCTTCACACGAGGATTACTTATTTCAAACGCAATTCCATCAGAACCAGAACCGTCTTCGGAGTGCCCCATCGCTCTTTCCAACAAGCTCTACAGTTTTACTGAAGACCCGCTAGATCAGGAGATATTTCAGATGGGTTACCAAAAAGCTACCCTCTGAGCTACTCAAAAGTTCGACTCCCTGTGTGCCATTGTCAGGATACACCTTCGAGAACCTTAGTTCTCGAAGGTGATCTTCAGTGTGCCTTCAAAACACATATTTCCCTTCAAATGAGTGAAAGAGGAGCTCGGCTATCACTGATCGATTTGGTCCGAGTGTGCGCCGTGCATTACGCTCCTACGCAGAGGTGGTGGAAAGGTGTAAATTCTGATTTCAGGTGCTTTTATCCATGCAAGCAGATGTTTGTTTAGGGTTTGGAAAGGACAATACGCACGAATCTGTTTGAGACGTATTATTTAGTCATCTACGTACTTACGAGTTCATGCTATTAACTGATATTTATTTATTTATTTATTTACCAGTCGGATCGCCCAGCTGTCGCCGGGCGCTCCTCCTTCTGTGACATGGCCCGGCTTCGCCGGGCCATGCGGATTTGCCGCGTGCTAAGTTAAGGATCGTTGACCAACCACACTGTTCAAAGGAATCTTCTGCATCAGCCAAACTGAAAAGCAGCGCTCGTTCCGTCAAGACGCAGAAGCAGCAGCAGCGCCCCCCCCCCCGCATCACAGAAGGAGGGGAGCCAGCCAGCGATCCGACTGGTACGTTCATAACCTACACGGGAATAATGGAGCCTGTTAGGTTAGCTGCTGAAGCAGCCCATAATTCTTGATGAAAGATAATTGTGGTAAGCGTGATTAAGTGAATTGATGCTGTTCATAACATCTCTGTAAACAAACCCCATGCATTTGGAATAGAGCTAGCTTAGCGGTCGTACATGATGTCGTTACTAATAAGCAGCGAGGAATGAGTTCTGTTGGAATCATTGAGATCGTTATACTTGAGTCATATCGATCGCATTGTTGTTGTGAGCGGTGAAGCGGATTTTCCCATGTTACCTTGTCACTTTTAGCTCCTATCACTTCCGTACCCGCCAATAACACTCCCGTCCCGTATCACTATCATATCACCCTGTATCGCCTCTCGGATCCGAGGTCCCACTGTTGCTGTAACCTGCGTTACGAATTTGATGACCCTTCCCTTCCGAAGCCGCTTATCGTATCTTATCAACTGTTATCACTTTCTGTCACCCGCCAATATGTTCCCGTCCCACACCCTATATCACCTCACGGATCTGAGGTCCCACTGTTGCTGTAACCTGCGTTACGAATTTGATGACCCTTCCCTTCCGAAGCCGCTTATCGTATCTTATCAACTGTTATCACTTTCTGTCACCCGCCAATATGTTCCCGTCCCACACCCTATATCACCTCACGGATCTGAGGTCCCACTGTTGCTGTAACCTGCGTTACGAATTTGATGACCCTCCCTTCCGAGGCCGCTTATCGTATCTTATCAACTGTTATCACTTTCTGTCACCCGCCAATATGTTCCCGTCCCACACCCTATATCACCTCTCGGATCCAAGGACCCACTGTTCCTGTGAGCCGCACTGTGAATTTGGTAGTCCTTCCCTTCTAATGCCCATTATCAGATCTTATCAGCTGATATCACATCCTGTCACCTACCAATAATGTTTTCGTCCCACCCCCTATTTCACTGCTCGGAACCAACGTCCCACTGCTGCTGTCACCCGCGTTATGAATATGGTGACCTCCCCCTTCTAACGCCTCTTATCGTATCTTATCAGCTGATATCACTTCCTGTCACCCACCAATTGTGTTCCCGTCACACCGCCTACATCACTTCTTGAAATCAATGTCTCACTGTTACTGGGACCGGCGCTATGAATTTCGTGACACACAGACAGACGCACACACATACACACACACACACACTTACAGACATACTTAGCGGATTATATAGAGTAGGATTCTTGCTATTCTTGCTATATTGCTAATCAAATTTTTTATTATTTTGTAGTCCTCCTTACATCCGGGTCTTCTGCAGCTTTCCGTCCGTTCCATCAAACTTAGCAATGACACTTTTGTACTGTTTGATGCCTAGCGAGCCTACTTTTGCGATACTCCCCACGTCCCCCGCGGCCAAGTACAGTCTTCAATTACGTATTGTCGGGGCGGTTCAGTGCGGCTGCGTTTGGCGCGGGCCAAAGTCGTTCTGCACCAGTTGTTGAAGCGGGCAAGTGACATTACTGTATTATATCCTTCGTATTACTCGTTTTCTACCACTTTTTGTCGCATACGCGTTTCAAAAAAAGGCTGAGAACGGCTTCAACAGTGTGCGCACTCCTTCTGGCTGACACGCCCCACCGGTCCGCAATGATGAGGACTGTACGATCCCCTTTCTGGGGATTTGCATGAAAAGAGGGCTGTTAAACGGAGCAGTTAAATCTGTAAAGAATACACTCATAATATTTTTTTAACATCTTGGCTTCCATAGCTCCACTCCCACTATCAACTGAAATGTCAAAGCATTGCCCGGCGCTGACTGACCCTTGAGATTACGACCCCCTCCCCAGCGGCCAAGTACGACCCCCATGGGTTTCGCACAACGATGTGTACAAAACCTCGACTGTCTATAAGTGGCGCTGTGGTCGTACCAACACCTCCCCTCCTGGAGGGAGATCGTAACGACCGGGTCATTTTCCGTGACTCAATGCTTCACCCTGCTGGGTAAACGTGTCGAACCACGTGTCAAGACAGGTCGGACGTGTTTCAACGGGAATACGGCGTTTAGAACGTTAAATAAAGTCGGACATAGCTCTGGAAGTTAACACTTCCAATTTCCACCGCTCTTTAGATTCTTATTTTAGCCTCCTTTGGAACATGTATTTGAGCACTAGATCAACAAAATGGAGTCTGATGTTCATGTCAACGTGCCGCTCTGTTTTGCATTCCGAAAACTGCAAAGTCACGGGATGGTTCGAGCTACATTGTCACGCCATTTCTTCGATTTTTCAATCCTGAGCTTCGAGGTGGGAGAGCAAACTTCCGCGCAATTGCGGCTGCAGAAGAAGTGTTAGGCCGCGTTCATAGCTTGCGACCATGAAGAAAGTGAAGAAGTGCCGAAAGTGAAGAAGTGCCGAAAGTGCGAAATGTGTGAAGAAAAGCAATAGATACGTATCGATTTGAAGAAAGTGAAGAAATGCCGAAACTGCAGACGTGCGGAAAGTGCGGAATCTGCAGAAATGACGAAAAGCAACCGATACGTATCGATTTTCCGCACTTTCGGCATTTCTGCAGATTCCGCACTTCTTCACTTTCGGCATTTCTTCACTTTCTTCAAATCGATACGTATCTATTGCTTTTCTTCACTTTCTGCAGATTCCGCACTTTCGCATTTCTTCTTCACTTTCGGCACTTCTTCACTTTCTTCATGGTCGCAAGCTATGAACGCGGCCTTAAAAAGGTTCTAATGCCGTTTGGACTCCAGAAATTTCGGCTCGAGCTCATTTTAAAAGTGGCAAGATCACCAAATCCGCTAAAAACTTGTATATAGGGGTAATTCAACATCCTGATCACGAATATGACATTCATTTTTGGCGCTGGCGCTAATGGATGACACTACGGTTACCTGCGCTCTGCTAAGGCTGAGCCCAGGAGGTAATCGTAGTGTCCTCTCTTGGCGCCAGCGCCAAGAATGAGTGTCATACTCGTAATCAGGATGTTGAATTACCCCTATATACAAGTTTTTAGTGGATTTGGTGACTTAGGCAATTTGAAAATGAGCTCGAGCCGAAATTTCTGGAGTCCAAACGGCATTAGCCTTAAACAGCACACTGCGCTCTGCACACATTTGCCCCAAACAGATCTTGCGTTTGTGAGAACTATGTCGTCCCTATGAGACTATCGAGTCTACGAAAAAGTTGAGCTTAGTCCTTTCAATCACGTCAGCTTTTTGGTTTCTCTACGCTTACGTCTGTGACAGTGTCCTTGACGCATGCCCACGAGCTGTAACGCACGACGACGCGTTACAATCAACATCGCTCCAAGGCTACA